AAAAAAAAAAAAGAATGAGTCATATTAAAATTTTTCTTCAGAGTTACTGAAATCACTTTTCTTTTTCTAAAACTCTGGTTAGTCTATAGGGAAATGGGAACCAGTGGCCACAATTCTGTTGCTGGTAAATCTAAAACTAACAGCTCTCCAGGGATGACTTATGGAATTATGGTAATTATAGACGACATTTTAATTTGGCTAAGCATATAGCATCAATTTCATCCAACCATTTGATATCTCATTTGACAAGTAAGGTCCTCTTCCTATAACAATATAGAAAAGGAAGCTAGGATTTTAAATGACCTTTCAAAGACCTTGAGAGAAGGAAAAGATAATCATATTTTCTGATTCAGACTTAGATGGCTCTTCACTCGCACTCTTAGGATAATTTGCTTTAATCTGTTCCTGTATCTCCTGGAGAGATTCAGCAGCTCCAGGAAAGAAGCAAAACTTTTGCAAACATCCCAACAAAGAAGTGCCCAAGAACTACTCTTCATTGCCATCTCTAAAACAAACGTGTACCAGCTGTCACAAAATATTAAAAGAATCTACTAAGATTTAGCAGAGTTATCAATTTACCAGTATCATTAAGACTAGGGTGTGTTCAGGCTACCTTATTTGTCTGGCTAGCCAAGAATGAGTAACTCGTAACTGAAAATTATTCTAAAATACTTTGTTAAATATGCCATGGTTATAATTAAGGTTTTTGCTGGATGTCTGAGCATTCTGGAAAGTATTATCCCCGAGACTATTCACCAATTTCATGCCCTTGACCTGAGTTGTCCAATATGATAGCCACTAGTCACATGTAGCTATTTAAACTAAGTAAAATGAAAAATTCAGTTTCTTAGTCACGACTGCCTCACTTAAATGCATGGGCACATGTGGCATGATTACCATAACTAATGGTACAGAAACATTTTTGTTTGTGATGGCTGGGGATTAAACATGCAAGGCAAGCACTCTACCAACTGAGCTATGTCCCCAACCCCAGAAACATTTTTTGAAAAATATATATATTTTTTTTAAAAGAGAGAGAGAGAGAGAAAGAGAAGAGAGAGAATTTTAATATTTATTTTTCAGTTTTTGGTGGACACAACATCATTGTTTGTATGTGGTGCTGAGGATCGAACCCGGGCCGCAAGCATGCCAGGCGAGCGCGCTACCGCTTGAGCCACATCCCCAGCCCTGAAAAATATTTCTTTAGTTGTAGATGAACACAACTTCCTTCCTCCCTTCTTTCCTTCCCTCCCTCTCTCTCTCTCTCTCYCCCCCTCTCCCTCTCCCTCTCCGGTGTTGAGGATTGAACCCAGTGCCTTAACATGTCAGATCTCCTCTAAAGTAAGTAATAATATGAACTAGTTTTCTATTTAATATATATTTTTTTTAGTTGTCAATGGATCTTTATTTATTTATATGCAATGCTGACAATCAAACCCAGTGCCTCACAAGTGCTAAGCAGGTGCTCTACCACTGAGCTACAATCCCAGCCCTAAACTAGTTTTCTTTCTTTTTTTTTTTTTTTTGAGAGAGAGAGAGAGAGAATTCCAATATTTATTTTTTAGTTATCGGCGGACACAACATCTTTGGTTTTTATATGTGGTGCTGAGGATCAAACCCGGGCCGCACGCATGCYAGGCGAGCGCGCTACCGCTTGAGCCACATCCCCAGCCCCTAAACTAGTTTTCTTATTGGCATTTTTTTTTTTTTTTTTTTTTTTGGTAACAAGAACTGAACCCTTGAGCCACATCCCCAGTCCTTTTTTATATTTTATTTATAGACGGGGTCTTGCTGAATTGCTTAGGACCTCACTAAACTGCTGAGGCTGGCTCTGAACTCATGATTCTCCTGTCTTAGCCTCCTGAACAGCTGGTAATACACTTCTGTGCCTGGCTCTTTTTGACATTTTCTCATATAAGTCTGTAAGAAATTCAATTTGGAACCCATTACAGTGGCATATGGCTATAGTTCCAGCTACTTGGGAGGCTGAGGGAGGAGGCTTGCTAGTATAACACAGTAAGACTGTCTCCAAAACCAAAAATGAAACAAATAAATAATATCAGATATGTTTAAGATGTTGGCTGAGTTTTTGTTACTAGTTAGTGATTCTTCTATTACCCATCTTCAAATCCTCACTCACCTCTGAAGTCTTGGTCTGGATAAATCTCACCCACTAGTTTGGTTAATTTATAACAACATGAGGCAAACTTACTGGCAGGTTGATCAAGTTTTACTATTGATGCTTGTAGTGCATAAAGTGCTTGCAGTTCCTTCTCTGTATCTGAGTCTAGGTACTTGAGTAAAATCGGCACTCTCTGCTTGATAACAGCAGTGTCCACTCTGAAGGTAGAACAGTCAGCTAGAGGAAATAGAGGAAGTAGGCATTATACTTAAGGATTTAACACACAGAACCACTTTCAGTTTTTTGACAATAGTACCCAAAGGGTTTTGTACAGAAAGAGGAGGTACGGGGCTCCAAGACAAGATTCTGAAATCCAAATACTCTAATATTTTTAATAAGATATTATCTCAAAAATAATAAAAATGGAGGAGAGATGCATTTTGAATTCTTGTATCCCTCAAGAATAGTGCACCCAATTATTTATCTTTAATTATAATGAAAAAGTGACAGTAGTTTTACAACAACCTACAAAAGCAATATTAATCAAATGACTCACCATGAAAAAGATACAAAAAGGATATATTAATTAGCTTGATTTAATCATTCCACACTGTAGACAAACTGCTCTAGTTTGGGTATGGAGTGTGCCTTAAAGTCCCATATGTTAAAGGCTCGGTTGCCAGCCTGTAGGGCAACTGGGAGGTGGTGGAAACACTAGGCAGTGKGATCCAGTGAAAGGAAGAGTTATGCTATTGGGGGCATGCCCTTAAAGGGCACATGGGGAGCCCATACCCTTCTCTTTCTCTGCTTCCAGACACCACAAAGTGAGCAGCTTTGTTCCATATCTTGTGCTCCCCATTATGATGCTGTGCCTCATTACAGGTCCAAACAAATGGAGCCAAGCAAACAAGAACTCTGTAATTGTGAGGCAAATAAACCTTTTCTCTTGATTTTTTTCCCCCAAGTATTTTGTCACTTTGGTGGAAAGTTAACATATCAAAATTTTACATTGTAGTCCATAAAAGCATTGTTATAAGATTTTTAGTAAAATAAAAATTATTAATTCAAGTGAATGCATTAAAAAAGCAACATTAAAACAGAAAATGGGGAG